CCCCCCCAAATTTGTGGTTAAAAAATGGCAGTCAAACCCTGCAAATATCAGAAACGTAACCTCTGGACTTTCAGTTACGATGGCAGATTGACCAGCTGTTAAAGGTATTCTTGCATCAGAATGAAGTTTCATTTTGACCTGCCCCTTAAAACTATTCAGGGTACACACCACACAAATCCTGAAATGAAGTCTCAACACACTTGCATAGCTTCAGTAAAACAAGTTGCAGTGAAAAACTCATCTTCCTTGGCCTAAACACACACACACAGCGCTTAAGCCAACTGAATTGGTGCCATGGATGAACCTCGGTGTCTGATCCTTGGAGCACAATGTCAACCTCTGTCAGCTTGGGGGCAGCATTGTCAAGCTGGTGTTTCAGCTCTGCAGAAATCTTTCTCTGGAGAAATAAACTAAAACTCAAAATTATCTGAGCCCACTGCTTCATTGTTAAAAGACAGTGGAGTTGAAGTTGTCTCCATGTGAACAAACACTCACTTTGTTAAATACTAAAGAATCTGAAAGACGTGTGTGTTTTAACTTTTCTTTTATTTGAATTAAACACTGCCTCCTACAGGCATTGATTGGCTTACATTTCTAAAACAAAGCCCTCAAAGGTACTTTTTGCAAATTGCAACTAAAACTTCATCCACCAGTGGGCAGTGTTTTTAATTTTTAAAAGGGCTGTTGCTGTTTTTTTGTTTTTTTAACTGCACTTTTCCCCTCATGAAGCTTTTCCTTTTCTCACACTGTTGTAAATAAAAATTTATTTTCATTGATAATAAATTTTACATTGACCTGCTGCACCATCTTATGGTACAGAATGGTATTACAGCAAAATATGGCCTGGGTCTAAGCTGAACTTGGTCTCTCTCTTTAGCACGGTGCATAAGTGTTTTGGAGATTAAAAAAAAACAACTAAACATAGTTCTTCCACATTCTGTTGTTGGCTTTAGCTTGGAGGTTTTTTTAGGTTCTTAGGCCACAAGTCAAAAAGACAAAACATAAAACCAGCCTGACAGTGGACAAGAAAGAGTGTACATTGCTCAAGTTACCATTTGTCTTTGATTTATTTGGACCGTAATTACAGGATATACATAGTGTTTCATTGAAACAACAGTGTAACACTGGTGGGCAAAGCCCTCTTTGCTGCTGAGGTCAAGAGTTGGTTGACGTACTCTCAAGCGGAGATGTGCAGAAACAACATTTTCTGCACATCTCCGGTCTTCCATAAATAGATGACAACATTTCGGTGACGTGTGAATGTTGGAAGCACAGTGTGCCATCTACAACAGGCTCTCCACTCGGTGGGAAGGAATCCGCGTCGAGCTCTCTTGTTCGTTATTGTTTGGTTGAAGGTGTTCAAGAGTGCAACCTGTTTTTAGTTGTTTCTTAGGTTGTTTTTTTTTTGCAAGTTTAACAGGTATCTTATAACCACGGCATGTGGTCAAAATTCAAAGTATTCTCCCATAAAGAAAAAATTTCAAGTTTCCCACAACCCCTGAGTGGGGGAAGTGGAACCGGGAGGCTCGCAGGCCTTCTCAAAGCAGTAGTGTTGTCGCTGCGCAGACCTTCAGCAGGTTATAAAGACTAAATACAGTTTCAGGAGAGACCTCGCTTGTGGCGTTCTTGATCCAGTCCAGAATGATGAGGATCATGCTGCTGGACATGACCGTGATACAGATGAGGAGGAAGAGGCTTGCCTAGAGAGGAAAATAAGATCACAGTTAGCTAATGAGTTCATTCACACCAAGTTAAATGAAACCTTTCACAGTTCAACAAATGTGTAATTTGTTGTCTTTGGTTCAGTATGAAGCTAATTATCTTACTTTAGTTTAGCAATGCAGAAGATATAGTATTAGTTTGTTGCACTGTGCTATTTTGTAATTAAAATATGATAATTAATGAAAAAACAATAAAACATAAGATTGTTTGCTTAATATGAAGTTAAACTAAAGGGCTAATTACTGCAGCTACAACCATGTCGAATTCTTGGCAAGGAAACAAATAAGTGTGAAGTTCCAAAACTGTTCATTTCATCGAACTCCATCTTACCCCGATCTTTTGCCTAGACTTCATGGACTCTTTCTTGACCAGTCTGATGTAGAAAGCTGAAGGCAGGATGAAGATGAGCATGGCAGCAGCAGAAATGTCTGACATTGTAAAGACATTTGGCATTTTAGTCACAATCCTTTCTTTTACTGTTGCTCTTTAAGATGTTATTACAATATCTTGCATGCAGACATATACCTATAAGTCTAAAGATGGTGGGAACGAAAATAACCAGGGCATTTGTGCCAGCCAGCAAGAACACAGTGATGGGAGTGTGACGAACCCAGCTGAATCCCTTAGAAGGGCACAGGAGGTGGTTGACAGTGGTACGAATCTGCACAATGAGAAAGACACAGGGAGGTTATTCCACACGACCTATTATTTGTTGGGATTCATGTTTTACAATCCCTAACATTTTTTTCAAACTTACAGGGAAGAACAACATTTTTTCGTTACATGTATATTTAAGCAAAAGAAGTTTACTTCCACACACCACCTAAATTCTCTGGTGGCTTCTATGTTGTTTTAGGAGTATTTAAGTGGGTCAAACTAATATCGTTTCGCAATGTCGACTCATCCCGACTACAAGCAGGGTCGTTGAACTCTTCGTGAAGTTAACAACCATTTCTTTAGTCTTCTGAACATTTAGAGACAGGTTATTATTCTGACACCAGTCCACCCGGGGCCCGTTCTTCGTACGTCGCTTACTACATCCAAGATCAAATCATCGCGCTAACCGTGAGCTCGCTAATCCGGTTCTCCGAACACACCTGCTGTTGACGATTAGTACAGGTGGATGAAGTAATGTGAGATCACTGGGTGTCGTAACAGGGGCTACGCATCGATAGTAGAAACATTGATCGGCAACCCTTTGATTGGTCGGCGAAAATGTCGAAGGAGCGCGTTCGGTATTTTTCGGCAGCAGAGCAAGAACTCATGAGTGAGGGATTTCAGGAGTTTCAGAGTTTAATCAGAACGCAAGGGAACACTGCAAAGGCCGCAAAAGCAAGGAGAGAGGGCTGGCAGAAAGTTGCTGACAAATTAAACTCGTAAGTAATTTCATATCACACTATATTATCCAATATTATATTACATTATATTATATTATATCCCCTTTCACATTAGAGCCCCAACAGGACCCACTAGAACATGGGAACAAGTAAAAGTGAAATATAAGAATATTCGATAGAATGGTAATATTTATCACTTATATTGCTTTTCGTCTCTTGGAAAGAGACCCTGAAATAATCTGTTTGTTTGTTCATAACAGCAACCAAGAAAAGGGCAGAGCAGAAGAAGACAGGTGGTGGTCCTGCACCCCCTCGTCAACAAGTTGGTTAAGTGAATAATACCCTCACGGGAAAATCGATATCGCTCAATGAGCACACTGTCGCGCTGAGCTGAGGGATCCTGTCTATCCCGCAATATATGCTGAAGTCTGAAAACTCTCCTTATCAATCTTGCACCTTCTGCAATGGGTTGGTCGCGTAAACGGACAGGACATGGCTGCGACAGACTTCCCAAATCCACCTTCGCTTTTATAGCCGTGGTCTCTCATCTTGATTACACGAAGTAATTTACAATTACTACTCTGAAATATGAATTACATCTGTAATAATCACATACATGTAATAGAATGTTAATAGTTCATTTCCCTTTTTTAGGATATGACCTGTATGTTTCTGTGTGAAATCAATAAATGGATCAAGTGCTGCATTATCTTCAGTTACATTGATAATATTTATTTATGGTGAAACAGTGTTGCTTTCGTATAAATGAAGCGGACATACCTGCGTGGCTGCGATCTAATCCTGTTTACATAAAGTAAACCTGCTCCCGAGCAGGTTTACGCTTACGGCTCTGTTGCTACGCTGGCTAAAAAGACTACTCATTGGAGTTGGAGTATTTACACTTTTATTTTGTGTTTTTGTAACATGTATCCTGCCATGTTTAAAACTCATGATTAACCGCATAATTGTTTCCACTGTTGCTGCATACATAGCCGTGACAAATGATGATGATGATGACTCCGACCTGTTGGAACATGAAGACTTTGTGTGATTAATGATGGTGTGACAGAAAATGTACAACAAGATGTTACATACTGATATCTAACTTAAAAGTTATACGTGACAACAGGAGGGAATGTCAATGGAAAATTGTATTTAGTAGTCAGTATAATCTTTTAATGATATAAGTTTGCATATGATAGAATACTGCATGATGACCTTTTAGATGTGTTAGACTGTTGTTCACTACAAAAACTTGTTCTGTTCTCTTTCTTAGTTTCTTCCCACAGCGATAATAAGAGCTGAACCACTCTTGTCTCCACTCCCTTCTGAGTCCCACAACACACACACACCTGCATATGCACTAACATTCCTCTGTCTATGAACAGATGTATTCACTATTGTATTACTTTTTGTATATAAATAAAGACCAGAGCGGTAACAGAGCGCACTTCACAGGACCCCCACTCTGATGTGAGCGCTCTGTGACCGCCCTTGCAAGTAAAATCTGCAGCGTGTGTGTCTCCACTCTCTGACTCTCAGCTGAAAAAGTGTCATTTAGAATAAATCTCTTGACAGTGTGTGAAGAGGACTTTCCATTTACATGCACAAATTGGAGTCTATTAGATATGATACAAACCACTGCAGCGCAGTACCTGTAATACCTACAGCATGTTCTAATCGCTCTAATAGGATATTATGGTCGACAGTATCGAACGCTGCACTGAGGTCTAGCAGGACAAGCACAGAGATGAGTCCACTGTCAGAGGCCATAAGGAGATCATTTGTAACCTTCACTAAAGCTGTTTCTGTGCTGTGATGAGCTCTGAAACCTGACTGAAGATGATCTGTTAGCTGTTTGACAACTATTTCAAGGATTTTTGATATGAAAGGAAGGTTGGAGATTGGCCTATAATTAGCTAAGACTGCTGGGTCTAGAGATGGCTTTTTAAGTAAAGGTTTAACTTGAAGGCCTGTGGTACATAGCCGATTATTAGAGATAGGTTGATCATATTTAAGATTGAAGCATTAATTAACGGCAAGACTTCTTTGAGCAGTTTTGTAGGAATGGGGTCTAAAAGACAGGTTAATGATTTGGAAAGAAATTATTTGGACAAGCTGGAGGGACTGAGACTGATGGAAAAGAAAACAAATTACATTTTAAGTATGTTGATTTATGTTCATACACACACACACACACACACACACACACACACACACACACACACACA